CTTCTTGTTTCATCAAATTGTTTGTCAATAATTTACCTCGTTTTAGAAATTGCCCATACGTAGAGCATGCTCTTGCGTATCGAATCATCTGAGATATATAAACTCCGTTTGCAGGTGATGAAGGTATATTGCTGCATAGCAGCATAAGTAAGGGAAGTTGACGATAGGAAAGTTAAAGTAATGAGGTTTATCATAGCTCTTGGTTGTTAGATACCATTTATGTCATTTTCAAATAAAATATCCAAGTTTGAACCTGACTTCTCAGACTATATGGTAACTTTTATCTCACGCTCACAAGGATATATCGTATTGACATAGGAATGGAAATTACCATTGTTAATTGACAATACGTCGTCTTTATATCTAAACGACTTGTTAAAGGCCACAGCAAGTGTTTTCTTGATTTTGTTCCCAAAAGAAGGATATGGAGATAACGAACAGTATTCAATCTCAAAGTCCATTAAACAATATACAAAATAAGAGCAGAGCAAACACGGACCTCCGAAACATCAGAGGTGGGATCAGGTGCCATGGAGGATTGAGTATCCACTGCCGACCGATCACTGCCGTGTGCTCGTTGTCATGATCAGGAAATAACGGAAAAAATCCGTCGTCAATTCAGTGTATAAATAATGGACTAAGAATTGGTATGAAAAAAATGATAAATTGTATTTGCTGACAAGGTCATTGTATCGACCATAGAACTTACGAAATGATGACTTTAAACGAGACTGTTGATATTCTTGTTTCATCAACTTGCTTGGCAATCATTTACCTCGTTTAAGAAATTGTTCATACGTAGAGCATGCTCTTGCGTATCGAACATGAGATATATATACTCCGTATGCAGGTGATGTGTGTTAAGTAAGGGAAGTTGACGATAGAAAATTTAAAGTCATCACGTTTATCATATAGCTTGGTTGTTAGATTACCATTAGTGTAATTCAAGCGGATACATGAAAGGAATATCAAAGAAAAAAACTTTGAGAAATTGCTGATGTGAAAGACGTAATCACAATGCAAAAGGGGATATCTTCGGTCCTTTAACACACCTGTAACATATATATGAGACGGAACAAACTATTGCTTCTATAATTTGGTATTTGCGACCGTTAATGCTGATTTAAAGGTCGCAAACTGAGTTTTAACGGCGACGCGTAAGCGGGGCCGGTAAAACGGATGTTTGCGAGCGTTAAATCAGCATTATTTTTACGATTAGAAGATCGCTCTATCCATGCATTTGTTTGTTGTTTACGTCTTATTTTGTTGAATTTTAATACATGAAATACGTCACGGAGCATAGTATTTTTGCGTCGCTCTATTATGACGTCACAATGAAAAAGCTTTCATGCTCTTTAATGCTTGTTTTACTGCTTCAAACATCAGTGCATTAGCAAATCAAAACATGTTTTACAATGCAATTGCATTAGAAACTCTTTTTAACATTACTCTAGATTTTTGGTTTTTCGATTCTACCTTGATCTTATTGGCTTGTCCTTGAACCTCAATTAATTTGCGCCACCTTACTGGATCAATGTCACTTTATCTAACTCAGTGACCTACATTTTTGGACTATGAAATGTTTGTAAGAGGGCACGGTTTGTGAAAGTTTACACATCGCAAAAGATATATTTTGCAAGTTTGCTGGCATATATTCATCATTCATTCATTGGACATAGGTGTTAGAACCGGGGATGGGGGTGATTTGGGAGCCTTAGCTCCGCCCACAACTTTTTTTTTGGAAAGATAGATATAATATAGGCATAAAAACATTCAGAATGTATATTAAAAAGAACCTTCAAAATATCTTAAATGATTATGGGAGCTACATACACCTGTACATCTACATCAATGTTATCATATACTGAACTCTGTTCAGATTCTGTTAAGCGTATGAAGTATGAGAAATATTTTTTTAAAAATGTATAATCTTAAGATTCTTGCATTTTAATTAAACAAATAAAAACATTTTGAATGTTAGTAAAAAGACGAACATCAAAGATTTGTGCAAAACATTTCATTTATTCAAATTTAACATGAAAGAATGTAATATTCTTCTCAACAATGTATTGTCTACATAAAAAAATGAAACAAAAATTATGATTCATTTTTTTTTTCTGGTGACAGATACAAAGGTCAATATATTTTACTTATGTTTTTTTCATTTATGATTTTGTACAAAAATATGATGTAACATAAATGTGCCAATGCTCTAATAAAAACTAGCTTAAGGGTTTCTCTAATATAGATATTATTTTATAGTCTGAAATTATGTATATTTCAATATTCAATGTATTTTCTTTCATAAATACCGCGGTATATTCTGCAATAAAATAAACACGTATATGCCAGTTAGTAACTAAAATTACATGCCCCATTTCCAGCTGAGAAAAACTAAACATATATATGACAAAGGATGATGAACATCTTTTTTTGAGTGGTTTTATGATATTTTTTTATGAATGCCCAACTGTATTACATGTTTAAAATTTCCTAAATAAAATTATATAATAAGTAATTATACGAGTTAGATTTCAGTAACATGAAAAGTATTGAAACGACAAAGTAGTTACAAGTTTCTACAAAAGACCCAACCACAAAAAACGTAAGTAAATAGAATAATTTTTAAGAACATTTTGGTGAAAAATAAAATTAACAACCAGCTGATCTTTTAAATTGAGCACAATAATATCATATTGTTCCACGTGGAAGCGTATTCAGTCTTAAAAGAGTCGCGTCCTGGATTCTGTGAACGGGATATTGTTGTAATGAGTTTTGATACGAACGTAGAGATTCCGAATAATCTCCAGTGATCTGTTGACAGATGCCCAGTATTTGCCAGGAAATATCCCTCTCGCAGGTTGACACATTATCACCATCATCATAGAGAAGCAGAGTCTGTAGATCCTGTAGAGATTGTTGTGACCTGACTGTGTCACCCAGTCTGTGGTGATTCAGTACAAACAACATGTGTAAAATCACTAAAGGTGGGACATATAATGCACCCATTCCTTCCTTTTGTTTGATCTTCTGCTCTAACTCTAGTTCGTCAATGTAAATGGCCTTAAATGTCAATTTAATGTTAACCATTACAGCTCTTTTGATTTTCATTCCCAGAGACATCCCTGACGTGTAGTATTCGTACATATCTATATTTACATTATTTCTATACATAATGAAAGGGGCTGACATTCTCTCCTGTGCTTTCTGTAAACAATTGAGTGAGTCTTCATATCTACGAGTTCTGTAGAAATACATGGCAAGGTACAGAATGTCTGACACAAAACCTGTTGTACATGACAGTTTTAACATAGCGGTCACATTACAGATATTGCAATAAACCGCACGATTTTTATTTGGATCTATACCATTCCGTATTGAAAGGGAAGAGTTCCTTAATAAACTTGATGTCATGCATTGTAATGTAACAACCTGGTGCGATGTCAGATTTTGTCTCATCAATCTCTCAACTTGTTTCATGTATACTGGAAAATCCTCAATGCTCTGGTAATATTCTAAGAGCCGTATTTCCTCAAAGACGCTGATATCTAATTCTGTGCTCGTTTTTATACTGCTCTCGTCTGTACAAACCCTCAATGATCTGTATAAAATTGCTTGGCTGAGATAAGGTCTTAAGGTTTGACTTAATAAAAGGCAAGGTATACCCTTATGATACAAATCCTGCAACTGATAAAACAATGATGCTTGTACAGAACCGGTGACTTTCAGTCTAAACATGTTGTTTTGTGGAATAAAAAAGTTTGGACATTCTCCAATGCGTACCCAGTATATTAACAATTTGAAACATTTCCAGAAACAGGACAGTAAGCAGTTGGGTGTCCAAATCAAGGATTTATTGTTTTGAATGACCCAAAATAAAATTGTTTTGACGAAATACGAACAAAGAACAGGGGAATTCAGTTGAGAATTAATTACTTCCTTGAGCAATATTTTTAGAAGACCATAACACAAAAACTGACTGTGATTCATTTCACAAACAAGTTTCTTTTCTGCTTGGGAGAAAGATATTCTCCATTCATCCTCGTTTTCGGGTTTGCTGCCGATAGGAACGACATGGAATCCATTACATAGTATGTTCGATAAAACACTGCGGGATGGCCAGCCTTGTTGAAGACATCTATGTATCCATGGTAGAGCTATTGTCGGCCAGTGGTTTGAATGAAAACAGAGCACAAGATCTGCTTCAAAATCCTCTTCTATGACATTGGACGAACAGGGTCCATGCGGAATGGATGACGCAAAGAGTCCATCTATGGTCTTTATAAATTGTAAATGGTTATTGCGGAATAATGTACTGGAAATATATAATTCATTATTCTTAACTAAACAGGCGGACATGATAAATGAACTATTTGTGGGACTTAACAAATTCAGTCTGGTAAATCCCGGTGGTAGATCATCACACTCCATCAGAATCACAGTATGCTGTAGTATATGGTAGAGACTGATCTGAGAGAGATCACAGATAACTTTGTGGTCTGGACGCCATGCCATAGTATCTAAATCTGAAGTTATCATCCGAAATCCCTCACGCCTACTTCCACTCTTCATTGTTTTCAATCCAGTACTATCATCAAAAGGTTGACGTAGAACCTCTTCAATGTCGTCTACTTCTCTCCTGATTCGCACTTCTGTAGGAGTCCCTATTTCATGACACAGTCCCACAAAAGCCGCCTCTGAGAGACGAGGAAGGTGTAACATTCTTATTGTTTTTTAAATAAAAAAATTAATTTACCAAAATCTGAAAAAAAGATTTATTAATTTATTTACACTAATAAATAGTAACGGGATTTTCTCGTCAATTTGACATTTATGAACATATCGTCTCATCTTGGATATTTTGAGAAGCAGATTTTTTAAAAACTTACAATGATTATAAATAAGGTCATGGCAAGAAAAAAAGTATATATCTATCACAATTAAATCCAAGAAGATAAACATATAAAAAATAAATTGATGGATGGATATACATACCATATATATAAAGGAACAATGGTACAAGGTTTTTTCAAACTCTGAAGGTGACTTTAGAAGATCGATTAATCTGATGGAAAATCCCTCGTTTGTACTTTCGTTTTGTATCTAAAAGTTACCAATCGAAACTACTCGGCAATTTCCGTAACCACAAAAGTTTTTATCGTTATGGAAAAAGGCGATCCGATCCGATTGAAAATTTTCCTGTACTTTTTTTTATTTAAGAAAAAATTACCTACAAAATATCTTATTCTTATTTAAATATTGTAGGGCAGTAAATAACAGACTTCAACATTTTACACAATATACATGATATATGCGTGTTAATTTTTAATCTGCAAAGTAAAATATTTAAGTAAAGGAAGCAAGTAATATCACTGACGGAACTGCACCTGTTAACATATATATGTAGTGAAAATGAACAACTTTACATGTAAGTGTTTATCTGCGCATAATTCATCACATTCTTAGACATTTTATTCAGTACTAGTATCTAAGTGAAATGGGGATTCAGGCCAGGGTAAAGGTGTCCATTTGTTTGTTTCCTTCTTTATCTAGCAAAATGTTCTATGTAAAAATATAGTTTACTATTGTGAACTTTCGATTACTACAATTAAATACAATTATTTTAAGGTAATTAAAGATTTATTCAATTTACAAAATAGCTTTCAGTATCTACTTCTATAATATTTCACAATATTTTCAAACACTTTGCAATCAATGCATTTTTTGGAACACACTGTAGATTTATATTTGAGTGCCCCGCTTTTGCGAATGTGACGGGACGTTAAATCTATACGTCTGTAAGTCTGTCTGTCTCTTAGTGTGCGTCTAGATTTCCGTCTTTCGCTTAAATAAAGTCATTTTTACAGAGTTGTAAATTCCAGGTGAGGAAGGGGCTTATTTTGAACAGGTCTGAGTGATTGGGGTGGGGGGTAACAGTCTATCTGTGGTCGCTTGTCTCCTTTTTCATATCCTGATACACAGGAAGTGATTTAATTCAGAGCAAATTATTACTTAAATCAATTAGAACCAAGTGAGGAAAGTCAGTACGTGACATAGCAGTTACAAGGAGATGAAATCTTGTTTATGCTGACCCTGACACAACTTGAACTTGTTACAGTAAACATAGTGAAGAATGAACAGATACAGGAAGTTATCAGATTACAGGGGTGGATACCTTACAATGTGTGTATTACCTCGAGCCTCTGGTGACATTATGGCATCTAATGTCAGCGAAAATGCCAACAAGCTAAGATTGTCCGTTACTCTGGCTCTATAAAGAAACAGACCATTCAGTTTAATAGCGACCATACATCTCTTTTCTCGCTTGTTACTGTAAATGCATTAGTGAGAACAGAAACGTGGACATATGTGCTGCTGACAATAAGGCCAAAGCAGTTGTGGTGGTCAATCAGGAAGGAAACTTAGATACGTAGGTCTTCTCTCTATTTCTAAGGGATCCTTTGGTCCAGTCGGCATCACAACAGATAATCAGAGTCAGATCCTGACGGCAGACTGTGACAACAACTGTATTCACATCCTGGATCAGGAGGCACAGTTCCTTAGTTTCATTGATAATGGTCTTCTAAAACTTCCTTGGGATTTATGTGCAGACACCAAAGGAGCTGTCTTTGTTGTTTAGTGTTGCAATGTTAATGTGAAGAAAATCAAGTATAAGTAAATAATTAACTAATATAAGATTTTATCTCTTTTAATTGTCTTATACTGTAAAATACATGGAGAAATTTCTGCTCCCCTGGTTACATTCCGCACAGCTTCCTCAATTAGGAAAACAACCAGGAAAATTATTAAAATAAAGTCGAATTGAAAACAGTTTAAAGACTGCAACCCATTTCTTTATGTTTTATATTGAAATGCCTCTTCTTTTTGACAAAGTTTAGGGACCATAAAGTGGTGACAGGGAAGTAGATGTAAATGATACATTGTTTGATATGTTGTACGTACGTTCGAACATTTCAATATACTTTTGATAAATTTAAATTGTGTCATAAGAATTATTACATTCTTTTTAATTCAATTGAAAATTTATTTATATAGCGATGGTATATTTTAGGAATGACTCTTAATTCTTGGCAACATTGATATAGTAGAACCTGGTTTAGGTAAGTGTACACTTTACAATGGACTTCTTCCCGGACTATAAAACAGCGTAAGATGACCAAAATCAGGTGATATGAGAGTCAATCTTAATAATTTAGTTTAAAAATCTTTAAACTACTTTAGGTGTAAAATTTCGTTGCTTTGTATTAGTGATATGAAATCGGATTTTTTTTCATAATCGATTATCAAAATAGTCGGAGGCACTATAATCGATTCATTGATTTCAAGTATTGAATTTGTTCATTTTAAATGAAGAAAGAAAATGATAAATAGGTAAAAAAAAATCAGGAATGATTTCTTAAATGCACCCTTGATGTGTTTTATATCATTGAACTCTTTTATCAAATTATTACAGAGGATTCACTTACATTTACAGAAGAATGAACTGAGAATTCATAGGAATGATTTGCTTTTAAGTAATATTTTGTTTAATCGATTATCAAAATTATAATCGATTATCTGTAATCAGGGGCCGTTTCGATTAGATAATCGATTTAATCGATTCACTATTTTGACATCATTATTTTGTATGGATTAAAATTTGCCGCTCAATTATACATCCGTAGTAACGTAAGTGATTGAAAACGAGGGGGGTAAGAACGGATACATAGACCCAGAAGCCATATTGTTTGTTTATAAATATGTTGTACGACAAAGTTACCGTTTGAAGTTAAAGGTACATTAATCATGTTAATCAAATCTTGAATTTTGCAATTTAGAGGATTGAATGAATATAGATGATTCAACTGTTGTCAGGGAGAGGGTGTCCCTATACCAAGCCAGGTTACATGTATATATATAAATAATGTGTTCCTTTTGGATACTGACCATTCAGAGGCTAGAATACAAACACAATTAATTTTTTTATTACTCGAAGTTTCAGGTTTCTTTGAAATTTACTAACATTACAAATAATAATAATTTCGTGTGATGTTTCTATGTGACATAATCGAAATAAAAGTTTAGATACTTGAACATCAAGTATGGAAAGGCAAAATTCAGCTTATTATGAAATATACCATCTCTTAACATTACTCTAGATTTTTGGTTTTTCGATTCTACTTTGATCTGATTGGCTTGTCTTGAACCTCAATGAATTTGCGAAACCGTACTGTGTCAAGGCTCCTTCATTTAGCTCAATGACCTACTTCTTGAACTATGAAAATTTTGCAAGACATAAATATAGAAGGTACAGTTTGCGAAGATTTACAAATCGCAAAAGATACATTTTGCAAGTTTACTTGTACATACTTAAGGAATCACTGTCTAGTTTTGAGGGTATGCAAGGGCATCAACAATAGTGGGGAACATGGGATAATTTGCATAACGGGCGAAGCCCGTTATGCTGAATTATCTCATGTTTCCCACTATTGTTGATGTCCCTGGCATACTCTCAAAACTAGACAGTGATTCCTTATATTTCCATTTTTACTTAAAATAACCATCTTAAAATAAATCGAAAAACCGTCTAATTGAGTAGATTTGAAATGCACAAGGCTCCATGACGTCAAATTTTACTATAAAAAATAGTACCCAAAACACGAAACAAATTTATTGATTATTTAGTTACCGTAGTCAAATATCAACATTTATAAAATAAACAACAAATTAATTTTAAATCATGATCAAAGTAATCTTGTTTACTTTAATTATATATGTGACCTAGATTTATGTTGTCGGAAGCACGAACATATATAGGCACTATGTCACTTCTCCGCCGCCATATTGAATGTAATGTTGCAGTTGATGAAATGGGAGTTGGTCAGCATGGTCAGGAAACCGATTTGTATGTATGTTAAAGAAACAGAAGAAGTTGAGTCGCTTAAGAAGTCGGATAGTAATGACTGAGGGACGATGTCTGTATCAGATGATGGAGCACGTGCAGATCCATGTGGCAATGTCAATAGACCCTTTCAAGGTTAATGGCCGCCATCTTGGATTGGGGGCATCACGCGCTGTCGTCATTGTAAACAATGTGCGGTTGATGAAATAACTTGCCGAAATGTTTCCGTCTACTGGAGGCTTTCTAGTCAATGTCACACGAATCCACAATGGGGATTTGTGCAAAAACTATTTTTAATGACAATAATATGTGTTTAACCAATAAAATACCTTCCTGACATTAAAAAATGCATGCTTGTTACACAACACTGTATATGCCATATAAGCGGTATGCGGTCATCACGTCATGTTATAGTGCGATATTTGCACTCAATATTTTCATTTCAGTTATTATAAAAGTGCGATAAAGAAGTACATTTCAATATACTAAACATCCTTACTTGCAGAAATTTCTTGAAGTTTCTCCAACACTAATCCGCAGGCAGGAGTGCCAGTGTACTTAAGCGGCTCAAGCTTGTCATAATGTTGTAACGTCATCAATAAATGCGAAGGTTTTCAAGATGTATTTTATTTTTAAAAAATAAAATTATACTTAAAAAGTGTTGCATGGATAAAAATATTACAGGAAATAACAATATTTTTAAAAATGTCATAGAATATTTATGAAGTAACATGTTGTTAGTGTACACAAGTGATGCGCTGCGCAAGGCGGGAATATTTGGCTGGCATCTAGATGTCATCGATGTTTATCGAGTAGAGTGTCTTGTGTTGGATAATTATAACTTTTGTTCAATGAAAAAACATTAAGAAATGTGTGTGAAATGATTTCTCACGAGAATAATATCAATAGATACATTTTCCTTCTTTATGAAGTACAAGTTCCGCGTACGTTGTTGCAGCAAATGCAAAAGGGGCGGGGCCTTTTTAGCGATAGTGAAATAAATTCCAATGTGTATAGTGCAATAAATTCCTGTAAAAGTATACATTAGATAATAACACATTCATATCCAGACTTCAAAATTTAATTTCTTTAAAAGTATAGATTTCAATGAGGAGGAAAAGTCACATCTATCCAAAAACGAACTATTTTCAACTACAGTTTTTCTTAAAAACGGACGTGGCCGCACTTTTGTACAGTTATTT